GGGCCGAGCAGTGGTCCATCCGAGCTGCGCGTGAGCATCAGAAGTGTGCGTAAATGTGGGCCAGGGAGGGCTCTCCGTGCCTTTGAATTCCTGGGCCTTTCCTTGTCAGCCTGGATGCAGAACTCAAGGTGCCCTGCTTCACAGTGGCTTGTTCCTGGTCCCTCCGCGAGACACATAGCCAGTCCTGGACTCTCCCATGGTCCTCTGTCACTGTAACCATAGCATCTGGGCCAAGCAGTGCTCAGGTAACTGTTAGCATTTCGAACATTGGGAAATGAAGGAACCGGGTCACTCATCAGGGGTGTCTGCTGGAGCTGATTGCATCTCATGGTGTTGACTGACCTTCTGAGCAGGAGCACCTGCAGCTGCTGAATTAATTAGGAAGCCATTCAGTGGCCAGTCCCAGGTGAACAATGGTATTCGGTGGAAAACTTCTGCACACCAAAGGACGTGATCAAAGTTCTCTGTAGCTCTTCCTGACCAGCACACTATGCGTGTTAGAGGTGGCGGTCACTTCCCTCCTCCCGTCCCCCTTAGCTGTGGCGGTCACTTCCCTGCTCCCATCACCCTTAGCTGTGGCGGCCACTTCCCTGCTCCCATTCCCCTTAGCTGTGGAAGTGAGGCAGAGCCAGGGGAGTTGCCAGACAGACATGAGTGGGTCCAGCATCAGCCTGACAGTCTGTGAATATGCTCGACCACATGGCGTGTTCTGGTTTCTGACTTTCCGAGCGTTTAACCCAGTGATGACACACCTGGTGAAGGCAGCCCCGTTTAGAAGTTCATGGCTAAGGTGACACACACCTGAGTCGAACCCCGTCTTTACCCGCCGATGTCCCCGCTGTGAGAAGCCCTGCATGTTTCCGAGTCCCGTTACTCAGACTTTACTCACACTCTCGGGAGATGAAAGGCGTCTCTCCTTCAGCTTACGGAGATTGAAGTTCTGGTTCTTGTTTCAGTAAGTGACTGAAGCCTTTTAGTAAAAAAAACCAACAATCCAGCATCTGTTCAAGCTTTGGGCTCACGGAATTGTAAAAGTTGAAGACGCTGATCTAGTTCTGCCTCTTCGTCTAAAAGTGTGCATGTAGATATAGCTATATAATTGTATATACATATCTACACACGTGGCTGGTTTTATAGTGTCACTTCCATCCGTAGTTTTCACTGAAACCTTTGCGACCAATTTCATAACTACGCACTTTTTTTAAGAGAAGGAAATAAATGCTAGAAGTCCTTCTGATACCAGATTTAAAAAGTGGTCCTCCATCCCTCCTTTTGTCCACACTCTTATATTCTACACATTTTGGCTACATGTAAAAAGTACGATAAAAGTATTTAAAAGGCAGTGTGGAGGTCGACACGCTACCTTCTTATCGTATCCTACTTAGAAGCCTGATGCAATTTTGAAGAGAAGTTTCCAGCTCACGGCTTTTACAAGATGAGGGGAAAAAGCTTTTATTGGCTGTATGGCCAACAGTCGTCTTACTAGGTAGGTTTCAAACAAATTAACTGCACTGGTTAGCGTTAAAAACTTAACATTTATAACACAGCCTGTTTTATTCTAGGTAAAATGCTATGAAATTCTTCCGGTGAAACCAGTCAACTTTTTTAACAGCGTTGGGATTTTTTTCTATGATAATTTTTAAAATGAAATGTGTACTCGTCAAACTAACTAAGGCTTGAGGTTTTCCAGAAGTCGCATTTTAAACGTGTTTGTACACATTTTAACACTTTGATATTTTCTATTTTGGTTTTGTATATTTTTATGTATACACAGTGTACAGACTTTTTTCTTGTAAATAAAACATGTTTTCACTTGTCTAGAAGTTTCTCTGTGTTCATTTGTACAAGTTACACATACAAATTAGCAAGTGCAAAATAATGAGCCCTCTTTAGGAAGACAATGGCACAAAGCAGAAAGCGAATCAGAGGTCCAGCGACTAAAGATCTCACAGTGCACTCAGACCCTGAATACCGAGGCAGCCCTTGGGGCCGGCAGGTGGTGTGGTGGTTAAGGGTGCTGGATCTCTCTCACTCTCTCCCTCTCTGGTCAAATGTAAACAAATAAATTAAATAAAATAATTCTTTAAGAATAAAATACTGACAGCCCAGCATCACACCAGAGACCAGTGGGTTGTCCTTCCAGGGCTTGTCACCTGTTAGAGTATGGCATTGGCAAAGTCAAGCAGAAGAGGCGTGTTTAGGCTAATGTGTCCTGGTGCTGACTTAGTAGCCCAGCATTGCCATGGGACTCATCCCCAGCCTGACAAGGCACCAGGTCTTAGAAAATATGATTAAGGGGACCAGCAGTTGGCGTAATGGCTACGTTGCTGGACTCCCATGTAGTCGACCGTGGTTCGAGTCCTGGACCTGGTGGTTTAAATTCATGCCAGGCGCGTGCATGTGTGCCCAAGATCCCAAGAGGAGAATGGAGGAGAAGGGATTGCGACCTGACCATCCCCCCTGGGATGTCTGTCTCTGTCTTTCTGGTGAGCACACACGCCCTATAGCAACACCTCTCTGTAAAAAAAAGAAAATGTAAGTTTCCAGAGGAGATCCTAAAGACAATGGAAGTCACCTTCAATCCCACAATGTCAAATCAGCCTTGGTGTTTCCCTACTCGCCACGGGAAGGGGAAATCACTTATTAGGCTCTTGGAAAGAAATTCCCAGTCATTGCATTTTCCAGGTTAGATGTGAAGTCATCCATCCGGGGAAGCCTTCGGGTTTTTGATGTGGGAATGGGTGAGCGGGTGGCACCTTCCAGAGACATCCATCCCTCTGACAG